TACATCCTCAACATGAATGAAATGTACTTGATGGAAATGTCAGAAAGTCATTTCTTCATTCCAGACTTTCCTGTGATGAAACTCAGGGTATATTGACCTAAGGCATACCTGTGTTGACAGAGACTAAGACAAGATCAATACAAGGCTTCAATGGCAAAGTTTGCAGAATGGGAAGGTAAATAAGAACATATTTCCACATGCTTTTGTCAGAAATATCTGCTACAGGTTTATGAGATCTCCTTCCTTGACTGTCTGTTTCTGAGCTTATAAAAATGCTTTTAGAACATGCCTTATACCAATTGCAAATATCACAAGTGGAAGTAATGAAATATCTGAGTAACCCTCCCTCCACAAAAAAAACTATTTCATGATTTTTAGAGACAGAAAAGCCTATTATCCTGGAAAGAAAACTCAGGCAGGCCTTAGGAAAGTCACAATGTCTTTTGAGAGGGCACACCAACCCCCAAGGCCACAGTCTGAATAGTATCCAAGGGCCTGATAGAGCTTGAAGAGAGGGGCTCAGGGTAATGAAAAACAGAAGGAGATTAGGTTGTGGTCTTTATTCCGTTCACCACTTTTGCCTAAATCGTAGCACCTGACGTAGATGCACGCAAACTAGGATATGAATCCTAGATCTGGCACATGGGACCGGTTGATCAGGATCAAGGAGTTCCTTGAACTCTCTCAGCCTGTGTTGCACTTGGAACTACAAGCAGTTTACTCTAGTTGGAGCAAGCACCACTTGTGGGGAAACTGCAAGAGCCAGTGATGGAGCTAAAGATCCAACGAACCAGCATTCTTCCTCTAGGCTTCTTTGAGTTGCAGGTGATATAAACCAGTTCAATCTAGCATTTACATAAAAGGAAAAAATAAAGATTTAGGTATAAAACTTAGATATTGAAAGTTTCAGAGATGGCTTCTTGCGGGAACCCAGCTGAAAGCCATCTCTCTTCATGTCTCAGATCTATGTTCTCCAGTTGTCGTCTTGCTGAAGCAGAGTCTTCCCAAGACACATCAAGGTGCCTTCTCTTGTTCCAGGGGTAGGATTCAAAGGGAAAAGGCCAGATCCACATTGCTTTTATATTTCTTTAAAGTTATTGGTAGTGAGAAGTCAATAAAGATACATTCTCTATCTTTGCACCAGTTTCAAATGAAAATCTTTCTCCCTAAAGTTCTAACAGAAGTCTCGGGGATGAATCTTGGCAGACTAAGTTGAACAACATGACATCCTTTAATTAATTACCACTGTCATGGGATAGACACTCTAATTATCCTGGTCACAGGCTCTTCTCACTTGATCTCACTCATCTCAATGAGACAGGGATGGTTACCCAAGGAGAAATTAAGATGTTAGATCAGAAGAGTCAATAGCTGCTTGACAGGCCAACCCTAGGTTCAAAAGAGGTAAGTGACATGGTTGAATAGAATAGGGTTTGTGAAAAAGCACCCTTTGCCATTCTATTCAACCTAACATCTCTAAATCAGCTACTGCAAAAGAAACACAATGCTGAATCCATAGTAAGGATGGATTACTCTCTCTCTCTCTCTCTCTCTCTCTCTCTCTCTCTCTCTCTCTCTCTCTCTCTCTCTCAGCAAGGTCTTACCAAGTCAGTGAGCTTCCTAGGCTTGACTTCAAATTGTGACCCTCCTGCCTCAGCCTCCCAGAGTACTGGGCTTGCAGATGTGTCTCACCATGGCCCACTCCAACTCTATTTCTTAAATAGTTTTAACCTTAAGAGTTTGCATTGTATTTGATGAATACCCTCTATGACTTACATAGGAGGTGAACAGGAACAAAATGAAACTAAGTCCCAAAACTCTGAATCGGCCTAACAAGATGTCTGATGCACACAAACTTTGGACACCTACATGTATTATATACAGTGTTTCCAGAGTCTCCTAATTAAGAGCAAAGAATGATACCAGGGGGAAGTGGCTGCATGAATCCTCCTGCAAATGGCCATTATAAAAACTGTATGAAACATTTTAAAAACTATTTAGAGACAATGGAAAACATTCAAAAGCAAACCAAAGCAAGAAGAGAGTTCAATCTTGAAAAACTGCAATTGTAACAGAAAAGAGTTTGAACTGTGCAGCTTTCCAATGTGAGCATGCTCTATGACACTTTGGCTAAAACTGTGACAACCCAGAGCCTTTGGCCTAAACGCCAGAGATCAGCAAATATGGTTTTCAAAAAGTGAAATTTCAAAGGTGAATTTTTGGCTATCAGAGACTGACAGAATTAGGGAGACAAAAACACTAAGTCTAAGCTTTGTTCAGTTCTTTGACCACTAAATTATTCATGCCTAGGAGAGAAGCAAAGGGACCATAGAAAACATGAAGACATGTATTCTTGAAAGGCAGAACTATAATGGGTAATACCTGTAAGTTTTCTGTTACTTTAACTGTTTTGCCCATGTTTGAACAGAAGTTGTGGCAGAAAACTGCATTTTCTTGGTTTGAAATGGCAAAATACAAAGCCTGAGGTTAGAAGACAAACTAAAAATTAAGGGAAAACCTATCAGGGAAAAGAAGACTGAAAAGATTAATTCAAAGTTACCCAAATTCTTGAGAAATAACCAAGCTACACAGACAGCTGGGAACAGCCTCCCCCGTCCCTAAGTTGAGTTAAAAAGCTGCAGTAGGGAGCCAGGGAAAGAAACAAAGGCAGTTTAATATTAACTCAAACACTCATATTATAATGCTTAATGAAATTGTTGAAAAGATTCAAAGAAACATAGGTACAAAACAAATGAAGGAGTGAAAATAAAATGCTAAAAAATACTAACTAAATATCTCTTTCTTATTTAGGTGACAGGAAAAGAGAAAAAGAAAAAAGAACAGATGAAACAGGTAACAAAGAGCAATGTGGCTGACCCAAGCACAACCATATTGATAATGACATTGTTTTTAAGCACACAAAAACTTCCAATCAAAAGATAAAGTCAAATGAGATAAAAAATCCCAGAACCAACTATATGAGGCCCATAGGAGACATACTTTTAAAATACAACCTTTAGAAATGTTAAAGGTGAAAGAATAAAAGAGATGCCATGCATATAAGAAGCACAAGAGAGTTAGAGTGGTGTGTTGGTCAGTTTCTGCACTGAGACAAAATATCTGACACCTGTGGCTTAAACGAGTAGAAACCTGTTTTGCCTCTGAGTTTCAGAAGGGTTGGTCCATGGTCACCAGGCTCTAAGGCAGAAGCATCATGGCAGAAGGGTGCAGCGGAAAAAGCTGCCCACCTTATGGCAGCCAGGAGACAGAAAACAGGAAGAGCCAAAGAGAAAGTGGCCAGGGACCAGATCTAGTCTCCCAGGTCATGCTGCCATGAACTGCTTCCGTCAACTAGGTCCGACCTCTTACTAGCCCATTCAGTGATTAGGTTAGTACCCTCCCAATCTAGAAATCTCTTGACAGCTCTAGAAGTCTCTTGACCTAGTCATATTGAAAATCACCATTAATAGGCACAAGTGGCTATATTGCTATCAAACAAAATAGACCTCAAGATTACTAGAGACAGTGAAAGACACTATATAGTAATAAAGAGGTCAACAGTCAAAGAAAGATAATTATTATTATTATTATGGTTTGGGGCTTATTGCAAGGTGAACAATATAATACAGGACACATATTTTGTAAGATTATTCATAATAGCCACCCAAAGAATCATATACAAGAGTGTGCAGGAAATCTGTCCGCACACTAAAGACCAAAGAATCTAGCTGAGGCCCTGGATCCCACGATAATGTCCTGCCAAGTTCAGCTGAATACCTAGAGCTCATAAGAATGCCTCCCATGAATCCAGCTGGAGGCCTAGAGCCCATGACAATGTCTCATGCAGCCCTGTTTCGTGGATCTGCATTGGGAAGGCCCAAAGGTCAGTGGTGGAAGTTAGAAAGTCTGTGCTAGGAGGCTGAGGTCTCTACACTGAAGCCAGGAAGTGACAACTCAATGAGAACCAGAGCTCCCCTGAAAAGTACCACAGCCATCCTCAGCAACAGTGAGGTCCTGAGCCCTTCCAACGATGAAAGCCAAGTTCCCATCAGGAGAGCGAATGCAACAAGCTTCTCCAGGAGACTGAGCATTGCACCATCTTTCCCTCCAGAGCCAGGAAGCAATGCTCAAAGTGAGGACCAGAGCTCCCCCAAAGTGAACTGAAGCCATTCTCAGGACAACAAGGTCCCAAGCTCCTTGGATGATGAGAATAGCTGAGTTCATCAGGCAAACCAGCATGACGAGCTCCTCCACGAGAATCAACAACTCCTTACAGCTTCTAACAGCACTCAACAGCTTCTCTCAGCTCCCAACAGCCTCTACCAGCTCCCAATAGCCTCACTTCTTCTCCTATTCCGCCTCCTATGCTGCTGGCAACAATCCCCAGGTGGGCCTCCCACACCCAGCACCAAGCTTACTCAGTTCAGCTGGGTGTTATAAATTGACCACCAGTTGTCAATCCACCACCATTATGAAGCTTATTTTATGTCTATAATCATCTAATATGAACATTATACTGTACAGGACACCTTACTATCCTGCTGTGATGTATATATTTCACTAACATGTATTTGTAGTTATTTTTGTAAACATACTCTAGCTTTCCCACTTGTTCTTTTCTGATGTGTGCATTTCTGTATTTCCAGTACCTCAAACAGTGACCAGCGTATCAGAGGTGCCTGTAATTACTGGTTGAAAATGAATGTGTGTGATTCAGTGGGTGAATTAAATGCCGACAGAAAAGCTAGGGCATAACACAAGCTCCGTGAGTGTTTTTCCTCTGCATTGTTTTCCTTTCCTCCCACATTCAAGGAAGTGTATCCGCCGGTTCACAGCTCAGTACCCATTCTCATCCCAGTCAAAATAATATGATTATTTGGCTGAATGAGACAGGAAATGACCAATAGCCATAACTAATGACACAGTCGCTGGCTGAGGAGACAAAGGACAGCTTCTCTGCAGAGTAAGCAAGAAAGAACCAAAGAAATGTGTGGCAGAAACATTTTTAATGATCTTTAATGAAATGATGCAGCTTGCTTTCCAGTTCTTCTTTGATAAATCTGACACTCACCCTTCAAATCTCAACTGCCATTTAGTCAGATGAAGTTCTCCTCTCCTCCAAATCCACCTATGGGGAGATAATATGTCGTAGTCAATAGATCAAAGAATTAGAATTCTTCATTTTTGAGAGGATTACAGACTTCTGCTAGATGAATATTATAGGTCCCTATTAACATCAGATATTTTCCATATATTTCTAGGGGGTCAAGTGAAGATCCTCAGATTATACAGCCTGAGGAAAATTGCTCCATTCCCCAGATTAAAATCCCAAGGTGCAAAGAGGAAAAAGATATAATCTAAGGTTATAAGAAACATCTACAAGCTGACACCACACCTAGTATCAGGTTTAATGCTATTTTCACTGTTTCATAATTATTCTGTTTTTCATAAGCAGACAAAATATTTTCAGCCATCTCTGATGAATAAAGTGTGTGACTTAGCCTGTTAATATCCAGTTTGAAGGGGAAACATATGATCAGAAAGTAATACGATTAGGGTCTGTGCCTGAGAGGAATGCTGATTTAAATCTCGACCCTCTCCTTGGCTGTGTGATCATGAATGCATTACTGAACATTTCTGAGCTCCTCTTTTCTTTTCTGGAAATGAGAAATGCAGACCACTTACCTCATATGGCTTTTGTCAAGATGAATAAAATAATCTTGTAAAGCATGCACTATCATCAATAGTAGCAATATGACTTCTACAGTTTTACAGCAATTTTAAAAATGGAAGTACAAAATATCCTGAGTAATGACAGTGACATTGGGATAAGCATCTTGACAACTACAATAATAACTATAGTCAGTTCTGTAACGTGCCCCCAGAATTTAAGAGAAGGGCCATCCTCGAGAACTAATCTCACTGTGTGAAGAGAGAGTGAATATTTCAAGCAGAAAAGGCAAGGTGATAAGCCTGTAACACATCTTTGAAGGTTTGCAATAACAGACATTTACTTCTTACTCAGCTGACTTCCCATTACCAGCTGTCCCTGGCTGTTTCCCCCGTCCTCACTCGAGGTCTGGCTATAGAGCAGACCCTGTCTACAACACCAGTTATCATCAGGTCAGGAGGAAATACTGACTACGTCATACCACATGCTGTCTTCTGCCGGGTGATGGCCTCCATTACTTCCATTTACATTTTGTTGGAGACATCAAGCCAGCTAGTTACAGCAAGCAGGGTGGTGTATCTACGGGGTAGGGAAGCATGGTCTTAACCCTACGTGATGCAGCAAAATTGGTGAACAATGGGGTAGTCTGCTCTGGTAGGTCGGATCTGCCTTTTGTAGAATGGACCATCCTGAGCCATGGAACTTGGAGGCGAAATATTAGAGAACCACTACAATCACCAATTACAAAAAAAGGGATCCTCAAATGACAACGGAATAAGCCAAGGCCAAATAAAAATGATCACGATGAAACGACATGCAATTTAAAAAGTCGATTCACAGAAAGGCCATAGTCTTCACAGAGGATGGAAAAGGGAGTGGGGGGACATAAAGCACAAATGTCACCGTAACTGTTCAGGAGGGAGAAGGTTCTAAATTTTGGCAGCAGCTATCTGGTGCACTTGGCAAGCGTGTTTTTGTAGTAGTAACATCTGTAAGATGGGGTCATAATAAATAGTTCGTAGAGTGGTCATGGGAATCAGTCAATGAAACAATGACTGTGATGGTCTTAGCCACGTTAGGTGTATGTTAGATGTTCATCATACCTGTGTGTATACATCTGGGGCCAGACCCTGCCAGGAGGCTGAGGGCCTTAAGGCCCCAGCAGGACCTGGTGCTGCCTTCCACAGTAACAGCCCAGAGCCCCTCCTATGTATTGCACTTTAACATTTGTAGAGTACATCCCTATCTATTTCCCCCCATTTAATCCTTGTAAGTCCACAAAGTGCAAGGTGTCACAGTTTATGAGTGACAAAGCTGAACTCCAAGATCAACTTTGTCTCAGATTGTTTGGCTCCAAATCCTGTGCCAATTCTCCTACAAAATCCTGCCTGAGGCACAGTCTGACCACCTCCTTTGATTTCTCTTTCTCTCTCCTCTCCCTGCACCTCCACTCTGCAATAACTACTTCAAAGGGACACTATTGGAAACATAATGATGCTCGGCTCCCCTGCTTTTCATTCAGGGTGTGTGTTTCTCTCTCAACTCTCCCTGTGTGTCCAATCCAGGACTTGACTGCCTTTGGGTTTTTTTAATCCCTGTTCTGAGCTCCATCTGCCCTGGCACAGAAGGCTGGGCCTGCTTCTCATTGTAACAAGGTTGCACCAATTAGCTGTGTTTGATTTTGCATGGGGGGAAAGAATGCAAATGAATGCAAAGCAGTATGTAAATGAGCAACACCCTGGTTTTCCCAAAGAACAAGCTTGCAATCTTGATATTAATAGCCACCTTACCAGAGCATGCTACGTTTTCAAAAGGACAAGCTTCAAGGTTTTTCTTTTTTTTTTCTGGGATAATAGTTACTTTCTATTGAATTCCAAGTTTATGATCCTTGACAAGCAGTCCATTGGTCATAATGCTATAATCCCTATAGAAGATTTTTGAAGGCAGTGGGGTTTTGAATAAGACAGCACAGACTTGATAATGAAGCCACATGAAGTGTAGTTCAAATTCCTGCTCTTTGTTTGGGCAAGCTACATAACCCAAGTCTCAAGTCTCTTTGGTTATAAAATGGGATTAAACAACATGCTACAGAGCTGTTGACAAGGACTAAGTGATATGACGTCTCAAGTCCACTGAGATACAGTAGGAGGTCAGCGACTGCCCAGCTCCTCCACTCTCACTCCTTCCCCACTGAGGAAATGAATTGGCAAACAACAGCAAGTGAGGGGCCACCTCCTGATCCTCTCTTGTCTGGCCCTGCTTGTCTTTCTAGTACCCAGCTGTGAAAATAACACACAGCTCAGTCATATCTCAAAGGAACTGTATGACTTCTTACAGTCTTCAGAAAATGAGAAGAAGGGTCTGTCCTGCTCCTCAAAGTACAACCTGCAGAAAAACTGCAGCTGTTCTTATGCAGCATCTTCTGACACCTGCTCTATCAATTGCCCTAGAAGGCCATGGCCTTCCTTCTGTCCTGTGACCCCTCTAGGACTGTGTTCTGTAGTTTCTGCTTAGCTTATCTTCCCTACCTAAAGAGGCTGGAAGTTTCTCACAGCCAACTGCGATGTCTGAATCATCTCTGTGTCCTTTGCACAGAGAAGAGGACCTGTATTCATCACTTTCCCATCCCTCAGACAAAATACCCAACACCTTCAATTCAAAGGAGCAGAGGGTTGCTTTGGTACACGCTTTGTGTGCAGTCCATGGTTGGCAGGTTTCAAGGCAGAGACAGAGTGGTGGAAGTGCCTGTCAGAGCAGAGTTGCTCAAGTGATGGTCGACAGGAAGCAGCAGAAAGAAGGGAGGAGCCAAGAACAAGGATACATGCGCCCTTCCGGGTCACACCCAGGCCTCATCTCCCAATGAGCACATTCAGCCACAGACTTACCAATGGATTAATCCACTATTGAGTATAGCACTATCCAATCGCCTTCCAAAAGCCCCACCTCTGAGTGGGAGACTTTGGGAGAACATTTCAGAACTAAATCGTAACAGGGTCCAACACAAAGTGCTCATTCTGTATGGGAGACAGAAACAGAGAAGGAGGAAGGACTGCAAAGAAACAGCACCATATATTTAGCTGGAACAAAGTAAAAATACGCATATAATTATCCAAAATAAAACACAGGTGAAAACCATGCTTAGGTTCTGGAAACACAGATACACCTGGGCTTCCCTTCCTGACTCCAGGCCTCACTTCAGAGCAGGCAGCCAAAGGAACATGGATCTGTTTTACTGCAGAGATCTCACTTCCTAGCTAGCCAAGGTTGGGACCAAGGAGCTTCTATTTAGGATGCTGAGTTCCCAGACTGGTTCATCATCTCAGAGTTAAGCATCTGAATGCTTTAACCAGATAGTGAAGGTTCACATACTATCCCTGAAGCCGCAGGCCAGACACAAAATAAAGGACTGTTGTCTGAAGTGTCTGTGCACACACCCATGAAGGGCACACACACACACACACACACAGATACATACTCACACTGCTATGGTTTCTATCTGGGTGTCCCCCAAAAAATCCTCATGGTCACATAGCCTCATGTACATGTAGCCTCATGTACACAAAGGGCTTTTAGAAAGTGAATTGCATTGTGGGGGCAACACAGCTGACTTGATGTTAGGAGGTGGGACACTGCTGGAAGAGGTGGTCACTGGGGGTGTGGCCTGGAAGGGTAGAGCTCCCTCTGGACCCCTCCCTTCGCGTTCTGCTTCCTGTCCATCATGAGGGGAGCGGCTTTTCCTCTACTGCTCCCCTCGACAATGCTGTCCTGCCTTGGGCCCAGCAAACTATGGACTGAAAACGTAAGCTGAAAGAAAACCTGCCCTCCTGTAAGTTGTGGGGTGTCTTGTCCCAGAGAAAAGTGACAAAGACACATACACACAAACACACAAAGAGGCACACTGTTGGAGCTACTCAAAGGCAACACACGCCCATTCTGAGACGTATTTGCTTTTCCAATTTGTTCCAAATACTCAGCTCTTTATGGTTATCGGTGCTGCTAAAGCTATGTTAATGAGAGTATAAAAGGTGGTCCCATGGGGTGCCAGGCCCATGGCAGGTCTTCTCGGGATTCTACAGAGCAGTCAGCCCCTAAAGGACACCCTAATTTTGGTTCTGGGAGCATCCTGTCCTTCATCAAGAGCTTCTAACCAAGGTGCTGTGCCAGAAGGCAGGGTCAGCTGAGTGGCCTGGGGGCCATCCGGAAGACTCTGTCTGTCCCTCTCCGTACCTTCTCATGATAGCTGTGGGACAGGGATTGAGAGTTTTCAGGTGAAGAAACTGAGAGGAAATTAGGGCTGACAACCATGACACAGACACGTGGCTATGGCAGAACTAAGACCACCACACAGCCTCCCAGGACTTCCCTACCTCTCTGAGCTCTGAGAAACAACCTGCTAGGAAGAAAACAGACCAGGGATCTAGGATGGAATTGCTTAGCCCTCAAGGGATTCTGAGAACCTCTCCATAGAAGCTTGGGGGCACAGCATTGCCCTTTTAGGGGAAAGACCTATGGTTGTGCTCTGTGGCTGGCAGGAAGCCCAGTGGGCATGGGAAAGGGCAGGAGAAATTGAGGCAAAGGAAGGAGGGAGAGAAATACAAAGCAAGGAGGGAGGAAGGAAGATAGAAAAGAGAGCAGGAGGGTGGAAGGAAAGGAAGGGAGGAAGGAAGAGAGAAGAAATAAGGACAGAAAAAGAGGAGGAAGGAAAGGAAGGAGGGAGGGCTGGCCACCATCCTGATAGGGAAGAGTGGGTTCTCCATGGAAACAGAAGTGCCTGTTTGCCTTCGCATGCCACCAAAGAGGAAAATTGTAAATCACTTTCCAGGCAGGAGGCAGGATGATTGCCCTGGCTTTGACAGCTGAATTCGAAAAACACTACTATCAATCTCCATAGATCCTGGCTGGGGCTCCCACCTATGCCAGGTACTCTGGGGGATATGAAAAAAAAAATAGTCAGCCTCAGACACACTCTTTCACCTTAAACATTCCTTTGGACAAGCAGTATGCAGGAATCATTTTGTGTCTTCATTCTCAGCTGCAAAGAGGAAAAGAAGGACAGATGAGGAAGAACAAGGGAAAGCCTAACAAACAGAGAGCTGAGCAAAGCTCGCTGACCTGCCATGACACCCTGGGATCTTCTTCGAGGCACAGGTGACAGGCTTCAGTCTGGAACTCGATAGTGCCTGGGCTCAGCAGTGGGTCTCTCAGTCTCATGGTGTGGTTGAAAGGATTTAATTTCTGTGCACAGCTTTGCAAAAGAAGTTGGCATAGGGCCAGGTGCCTAGCAAGCCTAAACAGAACTCTTTCCTTTCCCCTTACTTCTGGTACGGAACAGCCACCCCACACCCCCGCACCTTCTGCTTTCTGTAGGTTCAGTTACCTGCAATCAGCCACAGCCCAAAAATATCAAAAGGAAAATCGAGAAATAAATGATTCTTATGCTTTAAGTCATGTGCTGTTTTGAGTAGCATGATGAACCCTGGGATGTGAATCATCCCTGTGTGCACCACACCCTTGCTGTAGGTGCTACCCTCCCACTAGTCACTTCATTAGCTCTGTTGTCCAATCAACTGACACATTCAGTAATTCTTACTTTATTTAATAATGGCCCCAAAGCACAAGAATAGTGCTGCTGACAAATCAGATGTGCCAAAGAGAAGCTATAAAGTGCTCCTTTAAATGCAAAGGTGAATGTTTTTTACTTAAAGGGAAAAAACCATTATCTGAAGTATATATACATAGTATGCATAGGGTTTGGTGCAATCTATGGTTTTGTGTATCACTAGGAGTCCTGAATGCATTCCCCAAGGACAAGTGAGGATTAGGATATTCATTATTTCTTGCTGCATAATAAATTACTGCAAATCTTAGAGCCCAAGAACAATGAGCATTAATTATCTCAGGTATTGTGGGTCAGGAGTCAGAGTGGGACTTCTCTGGTGGTTATGGCTCAAAGTGCTGCTTGAGCTTGCAGCCAAGATGTCAGCTGACATCACAGGCTTCCTAAGGTCTCCTAGGTAGTGGGATCCATTTCCCAGAAGTCTCCCTGGCACAGAAGGTGGGCAGAAACTTCATTGTATGGTGGCTGTCAGCAGGTATTTGCTGCCACCAGCCACACAGGCCTCTACATAATCAGCTGCTCACATGTCTTTAGTCATGATCTAGCTAAGAAGTCACTTGTGATTACCTCTGCCGTTTCCCATTGGTTATAGATAAGTCCAAGAGGGAAGTCTTTTCCCTTGCACACAGAGAAAAATAATTCATTTCCAATTTGAGAAGTGACAAATACCAAAGAGCTTGTGGACATGTTTTTAAACCTTGGGGGACTTGGGGCCTTGGAGGCAATAGCAGGGAGAGCTGAGGACTTCTGCAGCAGGACCCTGCCTTCTCCTCCTGTCACTTTTACCTGCTGCACTGAGAACCACCAGAACTAGCTGGAAACCTATGAAAACTCTTGAATATAGGCATATGTTTAAGACAAATTAATATTTGCATGATAAAATATCAACATTTATCACCTTTAAGAGTTTATAATATTCTTGCATGTGTAAAAAACGTTCCATCTTTTCAGTCTTTATAATTCGCTGTATTGTCCCTGACACTGTGAGAAGGACATCTGAAGGACAGTATTATCTCCACTTCACAAATGAGGAAACCCAGCAGCTAGTATTTATTTGTCACCAACAGGATTGCATTCATTTGTTTGGTCGCCTGGGGGCTCAGGAGGCAAGAGCAGCTGGCCTGGGGATACAGGAAGTAATGTTATTTTTGTTTGTTTGTTTGTTTGTTTTGTCATTTTGAGACAGGGTCTCACTTTGCAGTTCAGGCTGACCTTGAGCTCACTTTATCACCCAGACTGGTCGCGAACTCACAACAATCCTCCTGCCTCAGCCTCCCAGAGTACTGGGATTATAGGCGTGTACCACCACACCTGGCTAGCGGTGTTATTTTGACTTACAATGCTCTTTTACATTTCTGCTTGAGTTTGACAGCTTTTTCAGGGCACAGACACACCCTAAGCCTCTCTAGGGTCCTCAGCCCCACTGTTCTCCCCAGGCCAAAGGGCCTGACCTCTGCAGGCATTTGAGTTCAGAGCCCTGGACAGTACGTTACTACTTACAGCCCTCTGAGATGGACCTTAGCGGACAGGATCTGAGAAGGTGAGTGACTTGCCCAAGGTCACACAGTTGCTAAGCAGCATCACCAGGGATCTGGTTCGGGTTTGATCCCAAGTCCCGAGCTTTTGCCACAGAGCCTGGAGGACCGGGCACACATTGTGCCGGTATCACTGCACCCACGCTGCTGAGTGCCCTTGAGAAGAATCTCATAAAATCCCTTTGGGGTCCATCACTGCTATCCCCGGCTCTCCGTAGTGGTCACCTTCCAAGAGGAAAACAGGCCCTTTATTCTGAAAGCCCGTCTCCTGGGTTGCTCCTATCAACCACCAACGCTCAATATTGAGCACGCACACGCTTTATCTCACTGGTCCTAACAACATGCCAAGGGAAAGGGACTGTTTTTATTCCCATTTTTTGGATAAAGACGCTGGAATTTTAAAAGATATCATATAGGTAGTGCATGTCACAGCACAGGCAGAAGGTAGGTGGCAAGACCTGCTCTTAACCCAAGTAAAATACCACTTTTCTGTTTGTGTATCCTGATTTCATGTCTGCAAAGGCCCATAGCACTGAGGGGGAGCCAGGCCTGCAGGGAAAGCGGCCTTCTGAGGAAGCTGTGCACATGCGTGTCTGTGAGTGTGTAAGTGTGTGTCCCTCTGTGTGTGTGTGTGTGTGTGTTTGTGTGAGAGCACGCCTGATAGAGGGGAGGACTGTGCTTAATGATTTCCCTTTCCACCTGCTTCAAAATCCCCCGCACGGCAGCCACTGTGTTCACTCTTTGCCCCACATTCCTTGGGGAGGTAACACATATCCAAGTTCACTCACTTTGGGACTCAGTGCTGCTTAGATTCTCTTCAAATGTGACTGGTTTTGCACACACAGAAAGGATGATACCATAGTGAAAACTCACGTACCCACCAGCCTACTTCACGTAGAAATGTTCTCTTCCCAGAGGTGATTTCCAGCTTGAGTTCAGGTTTCTCATGCCCTTAAACATTCCCAACAGTCTGAAGTACATGGTTATTCTGTTTGGCCCCCACCCTACCCAAGTCCTGGACCCAATGAATGGCAGCTTCCAGATTCCCTTGCTTTCTGATTCTCATTGGGCTCAGCCAAGAGACAGAAAAGCAGGAGAGAGGGATTGGAATACTTCCGTCCTGTCCGTGCTGTGATGCTGTGGCTCTGGAGCCCACGTGGCAGTCATTCCTCTGACGTCTTCCCTTCCCCCAGGAAACACCTATCTTGCTAGTTCCTGGAGACCTCAGAACCTCTTGCTGATTCCTAAATTATTCTATGCTGATAATATGCTCCTAACAGACCAGGGCAAAATTTGCTGGCTACAAGCAATGACCACCTCTTCACTCACAGTTCCGTATGTTGATAATCTGAGTGGAGCTTACCTGGGCAGTTCTGCTCAGTGTGGATGGGGTCAGACCCACTCATCGTGGATCAGTGCCAGCTCATCCTGGTCGGTGCTGGCTGCCTCTTCAAGTGGCCTTCAGTAGGCTGCCGCAGACTTTATTCTGGGACATCTGAGGCATTCCAAAGAGAGAGAAGAAATTTCAAGGCCTCTAGAATTCACCTCAAGTCATTTGTGCCATAATCTATTCATCAAAACAAGTTACGAGGTCAATCCAGACTAGAAAGGGTGCGAAAACAGATCCCTCCTCTGGATGGAAAGACCATTAAAGTGAGGCAACATACTAGGATAGGAAGAATTTGTGGCCATTAAATAATCCACCACCCCTGCCATCCCCATGAATGACACCCTCCTTTCCTTCTCTTTAGAATTCCACGTGGGTAAACCTTCTACTATCTCCTGGGGTCCCATGGGGGAGTATGCAACATTAATTATGACATCATACTACAGTTCTTCTTTGCACTGCATTTTATGCTTACCATTGTGCTTCAGGATACATCTGTACTCACTATGTTTACTTCTAATTGATTTACTTTGATCTCCCCAGAAGACTTTGTATGAGTCCACCTGCCCATTGTCCTGTGGATGGACACCTAGTTTAGTAGTTTCATATTATTACAAATACCACATTTTTCCTTTGCACATGAGCCTTCTCTGGGGATTGTAATTAGGAATAAAGTTGCCATCATGTAATACTGCCAAATCACTTTCCAAAGTCAATATCGTATTTCACAGAACAAAGAGAATTTGAGCACAGTTGAAAAACTGGGTCCACCTTACATTATGCAATGGTGTGTTTGGAAGAACTGTAGCGATATCTGGCTGGAATTAACCTCCAACCCAATATAAGAATCCTTTCATCAGTGCTCCCAGGAGGCAGTAAAACAAATCTTTTTTGAACTCTTGGAAATCCACAGGGGAAGCTTGATACATTTACTGGTCTGCACTGAATAACTCCCTCCTTCTGCAGTACTGTCAAAGCCTTCTCCAGCCCCCTGGAACTTGTGGAAAAGGGAGAAAGAACCAGAGATGGAGATAGCAGAGTGGCTGGGGTATGTCACAGAAGGATCGTCCTCCCTGCTTCATCCCGAGAACAATGGGGAGGTGGGGAAGGAAGCTAGACAGGAGAGAAACAGGTTCAGCTTTGGTTTTCTCTTTTCTTTTTTGGTGTTTTTGAGACAGGGTCTCGCTATGCAGTTCAGTCTGGCCTTGAGCTCACTTTATAGCCCAGGCTGGCCTCAGACTCCCAATGATCCTCCTGCCTTAGCCTCCATTGTGCTGGGTTTACAGGTGTGCGCCACCACACTGAGCTCAGGTTTGGTTTTCAAAAAGTCATCCAATCTGAACCTTCACAGTGGTGACAGAGGGGCTGCAGAAGGAGCAGATCCATCTAGGATCCATAAGGGACATCATCATGCTCAAATGAAGAGGTATTAAGAATGGAGAAAGAGGGCCAGGGGTATAGCTCAGTGGCATAAGTGCCTGCCTGGCAAACACAAGATCCTGAGTTCAATTCCCGGTACAAAAAATAAAAATGGAGAAAGAACATGTTCCAGTGGTTAAGACAAATCTGGAATAAAGCTGGCAGATACTACTTCAGTGCCTTGTTACTTCCCTGAACAAGGATAATAATAGTGCCTATTTCATAGGGCTGATATGAAGATAAAATGACTTCTTATACTTAAAAAGCTTAATGTCTAGCTCATAGGGTAGAGTAAACAAGCGATAAACATTGTTATCTTTGAAGACAAGTTCTAATGATGACCATAGTTAAAGTAGATTAAATTGCTTTGGCCATGTTCCCCAAATGAGTAATGGTCAAAGCAAAACAAAATTGTGTTTCTTATTCATGTGACCAAAGTGTATCCCAGTCAGCTTTTACATGGGGACTTAGGATTCCAAATGCATCCACTGTTGTTCTCTTTACCCAGCTAGAGAAAAGAGGTATATCCACTCCTTAACACCTCTGTCAGGATGTGGCCACAGCACCCCTGTTCACACTCCACGTAGGTGGCCACACCTACGTGCAAGGGAAGCTGGGAAATGTGGTCGCTGACCAACCAACACTTCTCTCTCTCTCCACCACAGCTTTTCAACCTCAGCTCTATGGATATTGCAGGCTGTAAGTTTTCGTTATTGTCGGCCTGCCTGTGCTCAAACTAAAATGTTTGGTAGCATTCCTGGCCTCTGCCTCCAACAGACTGAATACCCCTTATCCAAAGTGCTTGAGACCATGTTTGGGATTTCAGATATTTTCATATTTTGGAGTATCTCCATAGGTATAACAGGCTATATAGAGAGTATTGTGCAAGTCTGAACACTAAATTTTGTTTCACATATATGCATAACCTTATACGAGCCCAAAGTTGCTTTTACACAATAGGTCTGAGCAACTGATTTGAAGGTACCAATATGCAATGGAATTACAATGGTAAACTCCTACCATCTTGTCTAGTGAAACTCTGTATTATCTCTACTGTTTTATCAAAGAATTATTTTTTTATTCCCTATAATGGTTTGAGCAATCTTTCATTCTTACATCTGGTAATCTGAGCAATGTAGTTGAGGACAGCGATATGTAATGTAACAACCACTGTTGGTTCATATTATTTTGTCTTGAGACTCTGTATCACTTTGAATGTTCTTGCTTTGATTTGTTTATGTTTGTGATACCGGTGTGCTCCTACTGTTCTATTTTCTTTGTTTGTTTCTCATTTACTACTTTATTTAAAATAAAAAAATAATAATTTTATGCCAGGAAACAAATTTTCATAACATAGAATGTTCTACAAACAGTGCCATGTCAGACCTCAAAAAGTTGCAGATTTGGAGCACACTGTATTTCAGATTTTCAGATTAGGGATGCTTAACCTGTAGACATTGGCAGGGTGAGCACACACACACCATTCTACCCCTACCACTAAATTGTGACAATCAAAAATGCCTACAGATATGTCTTTCAGGGGACAAAAATGGCACAGTGTGTGAAGGACTCCCATGGCATAGGAGACTCCAAAGGCAGCTGACCACCTCTGAGGGAGAGAGGAAATCCAAGCTTCTCTGTTCTCAGTCCTGACCTAAAGTGAGCTCCCTAAACATATGGGTTTGGCATATTTTGCTTCCTGAAGTACCCCAAGCTCCTCAGCTGTCACCTGACTGAGCATGTCCTATAGACCAGGCCAGCACTTGTGATTCAGACATACCTCAAGTACTGTCTATGAACCAAGCACTGTGTGTAGGAGTCAGGCTCTCCTTCCTTGTAGCAGGAAATAACGGCACAACAATAATGAGGATGATAACAGTAGCAAAGGCCTGGATCCTATGAGGAGGAAATGGCATGGAAGTTGCTCCCTCACCACCCAGGTCAGGAGGGGCTGAGCCCTTGTGCCTAAAGGAGAAGGATGAAATGCTGGACTGGGCCCCTGCACTTCACGTCTGCACGTTTCCTTTTGCTGAAGGGCTCACAATGGCCAAGTGCTCCACCTCCCTCCTCTCTGCCTGACACCAAGTCATTACATTCTCTGAACGAAGTTCTGATTATGCCGGAGGCAACAACTACAATTTCTCATCTTCAGAGTGAGGCTCCATGGGGTTTTAATTCTCCCCATTGCTTTGGAGGCTCCTGTCTCATCTTTTAAGTATCTGCCCACCTCCCGGCTCTGACATCTCTGTCAACAGTACAGGGCAAGGAAAGCAATGACATTACGGTTGCCATGGATTAATGTGACAGTTATATTGATTTCTTGGTTACATCTGCTGCAAAAGAACCACAGAAAATGGGCCCCTAAGGGTCTGGAAAGAGGAAAAAAGGGAAAACATAAATGGACATTTCTTTTTCCTTTGGGGAAATAATAACTACAAAATAATTAGTGTTTGAGACCAGGTTCTGAAGCATTACGAGGGCCCATGAGATAAAAGCACAGCAGTGCAGGGCCTGCTATGTGTGATACAGAAGAAATCAAATCCCAAGATCGCCTGAAACAGAAGCTACAAGTTAGATACATGGCAAGATCAAAGAAGCGGCAGACATCGTATATGTCGTAAGAAGACATTTATAGTCTACATGAAATTAAAAATCTCTAAGCCACAGTTTCTTTACTTGGAACTTGGAACTAATAATTCTTAATTTGCAGGATGGCTGAGAAGAATAAATAGGACAACAGGTGTGAAAATATCAAGGCAAGTCTCTGCCACTCATTGAAGTCTCAATTAATATTATTTTTGTTTTGTTGGGGGTAAAAAGTAGACTCAGAAAATATATCTGGCTTTAAGCATGATAGTTACTATGAAGGAGTGCATACACTGGGGCAATGTCCAAACACCCTCCTATAAATAGTACTGGAAACAAAAGAAACATGTCTGTATAGTCCTATGTAGTTCCTCTATGAAATAAACAGGCAACAATGTGGAGGGCCCTCTAAGGAAGCCACATGAGACAGAAATCAGACTCGGCGCTCATGGAGCTCAGTATCTGCACCCCCTCGTGCTGTAAGCGCAACACCAACGCTGAGGACTCTGCCCTGGCCAGCCTGGGGGAGGACCAACTTCACACCGGCTGCTCCCACCTGACGAACAGACCAAGAAAGTAAAGCAGGTGAGAAAGAAGAGGCGGGTTAATGTAGTTTTCCCTCACTCTGGGCTAGTGGTATAGACTAGCCCAGATTAAATGTCTAGAGGCAAATTACAAATGCAAACCAGACATCAGCTGCCAAAGAAATATGACAAATTCATGAGAGCCGGGCCTGGGAAACTGTTCTGGCCACATTAGATGGGCTGGGAAGACATTTTTACTCTCAGGCTTCATCACTAAGATGCAGGCTGGTGTATGAAAATCACCTCCCTTCCATCGTTGGCTGCCAGGCTCCAATCCAGGCACTGAGGTTCCAGGAGATGGTGAGGCGAGCACACCGAATTGGATCAGCAAGCTTGAAGCTGTTGGGAAGTCTCTGGTGACCCCAGGGATGGGACTAGCAACACAGGAAGTACCCAAGGCTGCCCTTGTGCTGGTCACACAGCCCCACTGCCCCCCTTAAACTTGGTCCAGCTGGATCAGGGACAGTCTTTTGGTTGAGAAGGTGGGAACTTAGGCTGACTGAAAGTGGCCCTCCACAGCAGGAACTTTTAGATGACAAGAACCTAGAGTGTTCTGGTTTCATGCAACAGAAAGGAAGTTGTTGGGTGAGCACCTGCCAGGCACTAGGCAGTGGGAACAGATTCAGAGATGAACAATGTTCACGTATTCATCCAACAGATGTTCATGATGTTCCCATTCCACGTCAGCCGTGATATCAGGACCGGGGTTCAAGGCAGTAAATCAAGAGGAGAAAAGGAGCATTTTCTTCCTTCTCTCGAGT